AGTGGTACCCCAAAAAGGGCTGAATGGAAGAGGCCACCATAACACTCAAGACCATCTTGTCTACTGAAAGCACTTTATTATTGTTATTACTGTTATTATTGTTATAGTTATGATTTTACTGTTTTACTAGGTTTATATATGGGCTTCTGCCCCCTTGTCAGCCGCCCTGAGCCCGCTTGCAGGGAGGGCGGGATAAAAATACCTAAATAAATAAAAATAAATAAATAAATAAAATAATCTGGGTGAACTGGGTCTGATTCCCCACAGTCTGTCACAATTTCTCTTGGAGCTGTTCTCTCAAAAGAAGTTCTTGAAAGAGCTCTCTCGGCCCCATCTACCTCACAGGGTGTTTGTTGTGGGGAGAGGAAGGGAAAGGAGATTGTAAGCCACTCTGAGACTCCAAGTGAAGGGTGGGGGATATATCCAATCTCTTCTTCTCTTCTTCTTCTCTAACAGAAAAACCATAACAGATGGAAAGATAGCTTCACAGTTCCGTAAATTATTGTGATTGGCTTGGATATACATGATTCGCATGGGTTCCAGCTTTGATAACATAGTGTATATGGCACGCTGAAGGTGATACTCTGATGAAGAATTTACACAAACAAGAGTAGACCTAGGCTTCTCATCAGTACTACTCACCAATTTGTGTCACTGATAAATTTTGTTGCTTGTTCCAGTACAATTCACCGGACAGCTGGTGTTATTGAAATCTTTGTCACCTGTTTTTGTTGTTGTTGTTCAGTCGCACAGTCGAGTCCGACTCTTCATGACCCCATGAACCACATCACGCCAGGCCTTCCTGTCTTCCGTCATGCTCCAGAGTTTGCTTAATTCCACGTTCTTTGCATTGCTAACACTGTCTAACCATCTCATCCTTTGCCATCCCCTTCTTCTTTGACCTTCAATCTTTCTCAGCATCAGGGTCTTCTCCAGTGAGTGCTCCCTTCTCCTTTGGTGGCCAAAGTATTTGAGCTTCAGCTTCAGTATCTGGCCTTCCAGGGAACAGTCAGGGTTGATTTCTTTTAGGATTGACTGATTTGATCTCCTTGCAGTCCAAGGGAATATCAAGAGTCTTCTCCAGTACTATAATTCAGAAGAATCTATTCTTCGGCCCTTGGCCTTCTCCATTGTAGTGCTGATGAAGCTGACAATTCCATTGATAACCAAATGTCCATATGGCAGGAAATTCCATCTCAGGAACAAAACAAGTGATAATAATCTGCTGAACCAACATCGTTCCAGAGGTGTCCCGGTGTCTCCGGTTTATCGTGTGTGTGCAAACACAAGGTTTACAGCAAACACAGAAAACTCATTAGTTAGCCCAGACACTCAGTCTACACATGAGAGGATTATTTCAGAATTCCCCTTCTGCCAGGTTTAAATGGATTTACATTCCACATGGAGAATCCACATGGCTAGTGATGACTCAGCGCTACTGCTGCCTCCACACGTACCTCTTTCCCCCTCCCAGGTACCAACGGTTTAGTTAATCAATAGATTGAAAATTGACCCCTCAGCCAATCCCAGACCTGTAGGGTAGGGCCACCTGGTGTGACCCGCCTGAGCCCACCCCCTCTTGCTCGCAAGCAGCTTTAAAACTTAGAACACAGAGCAGCCAGCTCACTTCTCCTCCCCTTTACCTATGACCTCTGCTTGTCTGCTTTACCCCTTGAATCCAGCTTCCTATCCACAACCCTTGCCTCGCTTTACATTCTAGTCTGCAGCTAGAGTGGCACACGTGTCTTCAGCTGGTCTGATTACACGCGCTTCTCCCATTTCCATTTTTCCTTCCCTCCCTAATACCTCCCACTGGAAGCTTTAGGAGCTGCGCATCGCCTGAAGTAAATATCTCCCACTAACGATATACCTGCTAATGCGAAAGTGCTTTACCAAATCTCTCTGTTTTTATCCAGTTCTTGTGTGTGTGTATGTTATTGTGTGCTTTGAATGATATTTAGTAAACTAAAGAAAACTTTACGTTTGTCTCTGTCTCTTCATTGAAACGTATTGGTGCAGCCCATCCTCTGTAGACATTGACCTGAATCCCGATTAATAAACTGTTCCAATTGTCTCTCCTAAAGAGCAATTCGGCTAACAAAGGTGACAATATACACATGTTTAACAGGTCGCTAATCAGGATTCACCTACGACCCTATCTTTCATTGTGTAAATGTCGTGAAATGTTCCTGTATTCAGATGTCTTTGTATTCTATGGATTCCAAATTGCATTACTTGTGTATATAAATTCTACTTATGATCATTTCTGGTATAGATATCATTTATGTCAGTTTCAACAAATAGTACTGTGCAATACTTTTAGTAATCTCTAATAGTTTATTGAATGTTTATTTCATAATTGACAGTATCAACTGTTTTCATGCACAGTTTATAACCAGTTGATGGAACAGCTAAGGCTGAACATCGCTGTTTCTGTGAAACTGCCTCATACTGAACCAGACCATCGGTCCATCAAGGTCTGTATTGGCTACTCTGACTGGCAGTGGCTCTCCAAGATCTTAGATGCTGATCTGCCACTTCACTTACTACCTGTTTTGTTTTTTATTAACTGGAGACAGCAGAGATTGAACTTCAGACCTTCTGCACACCGTGCAGATGCTCTGCCACTGAGCCACAGCCCCTTCTGTCCTGTGTGTCCTGTGGCTACTTCTTTATTGACAAAATATGGGTGCTAAAAAGTGTGCTTTTCAGTATGATGACACATTGATTTCTCTATGGAGAAGGCACTGCCAACATTGGCTGCTTAATGCATCCGTGGCAAAATCAGGGATACTCCAGCTCCTCTATGTTTGGTTTTGAACTGATGGACACAGTGCAATGGACTCTTTCAAACCTTGGGGTTGGAAAATTCCATTTTCTCTAGCCATTCAAAACTGTTTCAAAAATATGTTGTCGAAGGCTTTCACGGCCGGAGTTCATTAGTTGCTGTAGATTTTCCGGGTTGTGTGGCTGTGTATGCCAAGACCATGGCCACACAACCCAGAAAATCAACAACAACTAATGTTTCAAAAATGTTTTGTGCCACCAAATGGAGGAATTGTTAGATAAACAATAAGGACATGTTCCCAGAAACCTGGTTGCGGTGGCAAGGTTGTTCGTCTCAAGCCATTGGAAACGAAAGACGTTACCAGCTGTTGAGATCTGGCATAGTAGGTGTTGGTTAACCATGGTTATGGAGAAAGTGGCGGGTTGTAAGCAGTTAAGGGAAGGAAATGGATCACACGAACAGTTTGGCCTGACATATCCACCCCTTCCCTCCTGATCAAGTGGGCATGATCAATCATGCACATCTGGCTCCTGTGCCACACTCATCCCTACCTCACACTAGAACAACTCCCATGTGAATTAAATAGCCACTGACAAATCCTGGTGTCTACCTTGGTGAGGGGCTTCCATGGCAGGTTTCTGGGCAGCCAATCTCCTGGGTGCGTCATGGAAATGCATGAGCAGTGTGATTGTCCCATTCTGTTTCCAGTGCATCCATTTTTTCCCCAACCCCACTCCAACATGCACTTCAGCACCCCCATAGAACGTGGCCAGGAGCATGTGTGTGCTT